GGGGATACAAACTCAGCATGAACCCTTCGTATCGCAGCTCTGCTCTTCCCTTGGTTCTCTCTACGCTAGGTAGGAAAGCCATCTCATAGCTGGAAAACATTAAGACATTTCTTGATCTGCCTGCTGCATTTGGCTCTAACCCAAACAAGGAGTAACACTGCATTTCAGCTCTTCTTTCCCACCATGACCTTCCAGCCACCATTACAGATGAACCAAAGCTCATTTTAAGTCCTGCTGCCGTCTGCAAGTTGGCTTCTCTCCTCCGTTAAACGTACCCAAAGCACCCCAGCCCTGCCCCATCTGGTGATTTATAACAGCTGTTTTTAAAAACAGTCACAAATTGTGACAACGGTTTGGGTAACACTCCAAACATTGCAAGATTTCCAGGTCTGGTTAGAGCAGAAGTTAATTACAGTCCATATATGCTAATTTCCTTATTAGATGACTCCCAAATACACAAATTAGTAATGAGGAAGCTGGGGGTTTATTGCTGTATTTTAGGTTCTCCTGCTGTTATTCAACTATTTTTTTATGTAAGAGAGTGGTTACACCTTGTAAGAGTTTTTCTTTCTTCAGAGATCCCTGCAAAATATTTGATGAACTTACTTTTCTGCATGTCCAGAAGTCCTCAGTGTGTACATTAAACACATCCAGTTCTGGAAGTGCTGGTTACTTTGCTATTGGGACCCCGTTTTCTGTCAGGTACAGTGCTTTTTCTTTAGGATGTCTAGTGAAGTCACCTTGAGATGTTTTTATCTGTACAGTCCTCCAGCATCAGTAGCTCTAAAGCTACTAAGACACGCAGAGGAAGAATACTTCCAGAAAGATGTAAATCCAAATGTTTTTGAAAGACAGCAGGATACATCAAAATGCTGTTAAGGCCTACTGAGGCTGTACATATTTTTGATTTATATTTTAAAATATTCTATCAGAATAAGTGTTTTGCTGTACACTGCACGTTCTTTTGAACAGTAATAAACCAACGCAAATTGACATCTGAATGCTCTGATATATGAAACAAGCTGTTAGGAAACACATTAGTTAGTTCTAGTTACCTAATGTATCAGTTATTGCACACGAACAGAATATTTTTAGAGGATAATAAAGGCCAAGATTTCAAAGCAGCTTAATAATGTCTCTAGTATCAGATAATGAGAAACTCCCTCAATGCTGCTAAACTGGCCTTTGTTAATTATAGCAACTGATCTTGCAACTGGCATATTTAACTGGAGTAATGATTGTAAATCCTATTTGTTAGCCTGGAACTCTGGATTCACTCTGCATTGGTGTTTGACTGCCTCTGGTGTGAGCGCTCCTGCTTCCTCTCACCTGTGTGTACGTTTGATCCTGCTCTGGCAGGGGGATTGGACTGGATGATCTTCTGAGGTCCCTTCCAACTCCTAATGTTCTGTGACTCTGTAACTCCAGACAGCCAAATCCAGAAGAGTAGAACTTCCAGCCATGTCCCCTCACCTGGACCCAGACCAAGGGGTCACACTTCAGAGAAGACACCTCCTTGCAAAACGCTCTGCAACGACTGTATTTCAGTACAACAGAAAATGAGAAATCACATGAAAATTCTGTGGGAATTGTGCAACACATTTATCTGCCCATCAGCTCCCATTTGTGCCTCTGCCAACGGTTTGCACAGTGATCATGTAACAGGTAAATATGTACAAAGTACCTGTGGTATCTCAGGAGAAGATCTACCACACTGGTACACTAAATACACCAGGGTTGAGGAAAAACATTTCTTCAGCTTTCACGTATCCAGCAAGCAAGGCTCACTCAGGTGAGTCAGACAGCTGCTCTGGAAGCAGATTTGGTTTCAAATTGAGCTTAGCTTGGTAGGAACAACTTGAAATGTGTCTCTCACCAAAAGACTTCCAAATGGAAATGCAATGACCTGGTAATTAGAAAATTCTTTACATAGCAAAAGGCTCCCAATGAACAATTACTTTATATTTTACACAAGCCTTTTCTAACACAATCTTTGTACGGGGGAAAAGAAAATACGGAAGAAAGAACAACAGCATAGAAAAAAAATCATATAAAATGTTCTATTTGTGTATTTCCCAAACCATTCTGTGGAAACCTACCTCAGACCTCTATCACAAACCAGATTAAAACTGAAGACACCTGACAGAGGATACAGTTGTTGTCTCTCAATACAAAAATGACAAGATCTGGGGAAAATTTGAAATGACACATTATTAGAGAACCATTGCTTGATACACAAGATTATTGTTGTAACAAGTCAAATATCGAATTCAGGCACTTTTTAATACATTCACAACACAGGACTTGTCTTCTAAATGGGGAAGCCCAGACGCAACATTTAATTCTGAAGATGCTGTTCCAGGGCAGCAGAGGATGGGCTGACTAAGGGCATACAAAGGGAAAACTCACTCATATAAATACATATTGTGTATAAAGCAGCTTTGAGCATTCTCATTAGAAATGCAGAAATGCAATTTAGGACAGTCCATAAATGCCTGTCCCAAACAGGGCAACGACACAGAAATGTTATTCCTAAACCCATGTCTGCGTTAGTGCAGCAATGGAATCAGGGGCTGAAATGCTTTCCACAGTGGTACGTGCCCTTTTAAAACAACGATGAAAGAAACTCAGTGGTTGTACTTCATTTGTGCGCATATTCCACCAATTTTGTAGATAAAAAAATCAAATACAATACATACATTACTTTTAAAAGTAACTGTGTACAGAGCACAGCACATACAACTGAGAGATGGGAAATAATTACAGCTGTAACATTAGTTAAAAGGCTTGACCTTGCTCTTCTGAGAAGAACTGCTGAGTCGCTGATGAGGCCGTTCAGGAGTTCCTGGAGTATGGCACCCAAGTTCAGACTGTAGGAAATCACATTATTTTGATTTTTTCCTGATTATTTTTTCAAATGGATACCCAACACAGTTCTACACAAAGTCCTTTTACATAATCCTGGCTATTCAGCCCTTAACAGTCTTTCAAAGAGCTCTGCGCTCCATTAAGAGTTTGCTTTTAGCACTGTATTATTAAGTCAGTTAAGTATTGTCACTCCCTTCCTAGCCTGTCACAAGACTATGGAAGCCAAGCTAAGACTGGCTCAAAGTATGAGACCTATTATAGGAATCAAAAGGCAATGCTGACACTCACGTTAGCAAATTAGGCTGAACTGCAGCAGCTAAGGGACTGCCTCACATTAGCACAACTAATCACATTAATCATCGTTAACTCAAGCATTTTTGTAGTACAGCAATGATCATTTTAGACTCACAGACTATGTTGAGCAGAATAACTGTAGTTAACTGTTGTGGTGTTTGTAGTCTTAATTATAGTCTAACCATCTCCCCAGCCATTTCAATTCACCTGACAGAAAGCCTGCAAGCAACTTGAAATGCATTAATAATAATAATAAATAATAATAAGAAGAATGCTAAAAGAAAACTTCAGAAGCCATCTCGTCCTCCTCCTCTTACTCCTACTCCTGTATTTCTGAAAAGCTCAATGCTCTTGATCAAACTGATATGGGAGAGGCTTTTTTTATTGGCATAAGGATAATTATGGCATTAATTCTTCGCCAATCAATAGGCAAAGCGTGTATGTGGGGGAGTAATTCCCCAAAGTAGTTACTTCCCTTTGAAACTCACAGTAAGTCACAAAACTTTTTAAAAGTGCTTCTCCTCCTTGCTTGTTTCTTTGTATAAGGCACCGCAGTCTGCTCTTTTTACAAAACCATACTTGTTAAGTGTCATTTACCTGAGTTTCGCTAGGAAATCCTTCAGGAGTCTCAGACTGTAACAGTCTTAAGCTCCACTCGAAGTGAATCATCAGTGATGAGCAAGCCTTAAAAACGAGATTCTTCTAAGTCAGCCAAAACCAGAAAAACCAATCCTTCCCTCCCAAAAATACTTGAAATAAATTGCTAATTACAGCAATTACAATAATTTTTCATATATTAAGCTTTCTGTCTCTTGATTCTTAGTTAATTAGTTCTTCAGCACTGAAGAGGTTTCTGCAGCAAATAAAATTTTAAAGACTAATTTTGAAGTAAACAAAGAGGGATAAAAAAGCAAATACTTCTCATCCCCCCTTCTCTCTTTCTCAAAAGGAGAAAAACTGCTTTTTTTTTTAATAAAGAACCACTAACTTCCATGAGTGAGTTTTCTAAGCTGCAAATTAACAGTCCCTCCTTAACTCCCAAAAAGGCTCTGAGGATAAAGTTTGTAAAATGCATTGGAAAAGGCCATGGAAACATGGAAAGGCCACTGTGAGGCAGTACCACAGCATTCCTGGTACCTAGCTTGTATCTCTGTCTTTCTGCACAACTACTGGAGCTTTTTTAACCCCATTTCACAAAGATTTCAACTCAACCTTTTATGAAAGGAGAACTATAAATAGCCTCTTAGATTAAAACCCTTAACAGCTGAGAAGGCTGGAAAGGAAGGTAGGCATTAGCCACCTTTCAGTACAACAAATTGGGGCTGGAAGGGCTTAATTACCAAGGTATACTTAAGAACACACTGAGGGCTGCCATAAAAATTACTTCAATTACAGCAGCTCTACAGACATCGCTCCACCTGGGAGGGAGGAAACCATCACTTCTCTCTTTCCACATACCTCTCCTGCAGCCCATGCTAATGGAGGGCGCCACGAGCAGACAGCAGCTTCGTGCCACGCCACAGTTCTGCTGCATGTGTGGGGTCCTTTCTCCCAGGGGGCTTAACTTGCACACCAGGCAAGACAAAGATTTGGCTTCTTCATTTTTCCCTTTGAAATCTCAAAGTGGAGTTACGCTGTTTGGAGAACCTAAGGCAACATATGAATGTCAGCCAACGTGTTAGCTTAGAACTGTCTCAGGCAGAAAGAGATACCTTCTAATCCACTATTTGAACATGGAAATCATGATTGCACATTAATTACTCATTGTCCTGAAATGGGGAATTCATGGTTCTCCTTATGATTTTGTCTGTGATGATGTATTCTTATTCACAATTTTTATAATTACAAATAAATATGTAATTCACAATGAGCGTTCCGTGAAATAATTTCCATTAACATAGTCCTTATGGTTTCAGTACTCCTGTGCTAAGCTTTTCGCAATGGTGCTCAACTGGATATTTGAAGTTCCTTCATATATTGTACCTGAAATCAGAAGAAAATAAATTAGATTATAAAACTACAGTAAGTATATGAAGAGACACCAAGATACCATTCTAACAGTCCAGTCAGAACATTTACAATCATGAAGTGAAGCTTTACGAAGCACTTCTAGAAAGAGAATTATTATTTACATAAGTGTTCATATTTTATTATCTGCAACAATTAAAATACTCTTCTGCTGGTATAACGTAATGACAAGACATTTCCCTGAAAAGCAATTCTTAAATAACCAACAAAAATTAAGATTTACAAATGCTATCAGCAATAAAAGTCAAAGGGTAATATTGTCAGAAATGTCAAACTGTTAGGTCCGAGGGTTCTATGGGTAAACAAGGAAGTCTTGGAAGTAAAGCTCCACATAGATTCAGATCTTAAAGCCAAATAAAGTACTTTGAATTTTTTTGAACTGGAGTTCTCTTAATAGAATGGGTTGCAATGTGTGTGTCTGTATTTGATTGGTATCGAGTTAAACATTTTAACTAGCCTTACATACACAGGTATTTACACCTCAAGTTTTACTTTCTTACATCTGAGCCTTCAAGTTGAGTACAGTCTTAATAGAAAAAAGTACCTTAAAAAATAGCCAGTCACTCATCCCCAAACTTTAATACAACTGATGCTCCAATAAATACTTGTTAAGAAACCATCACTCACCTATCTTGCAGTCACGATAGTACTTTTCTATCGGGTAATTTTTTGTGAATCCAACACCACCCATCCATTCAATACATTTACTAGTTGTCAGTGTTGCAACCTATGAAAATAGTGTCAGAGATACAATTTCAGGATTGGTGGCAGTAAACTTTACTCTTTATAGTTATTTAAAGTAAAACCAAAATAGCAATAAAGCAGTTACTAGAACAAGTGGGAAGAGGAAGGATTGATATTTTTGTATTCATCTTATTTATGCAATTTATTTTAGAATTCACTAACTGTTGAGATAGTTTATATGCCACGCTATGAAAAAGATGAGCAGTGGTATGCAAGAGAGCAGTTTTAAAGAGGCAGAAGCAATCTGGTTTCGAATCACAGAATCTCAGGAGTTGGAAGGGACCTCAAAAGCTCCCCCAGTCCAACCCCTGCCAGAGCAGGATCACCAGAGCAGTCACACAGGAACACGGCCAGGCGGGTTTTGAATGTCTGCAGAGAAGGAGACTCCACAACCTCTCTGGGCAGCCTGGGCCATGCTCTGGCACCCTCACAGTAAAGAAGTTTTTCCTCATGTTCACATGGAACCTCCTATGCTCCAGCTTGCACCCATTGCCCCTTGTCCTGGCATTGGACATCAGAGACAAGAACCTGGCCTCCTGGCTCTGAATCATATTAAGACTCCCAGTTGTGACCAGCAGAGTTGAAATGGTCACAAACGAAGTCTCCCCATGACATTTCTCCAGCCACAGAAAGCTAATTCTGAGAAAATGAAAATCTCTCTAGATGAGTGAAAATGCTAATTCACTTTCTCTTTTAATGCTGCTGCTTGTTTTTCAAAATCTTACACAAGAGCATGAAGAGTTCATTCTTTGGTGGCTTACATTCCATACACAGACTGAAAACCAACATAGAAGTATTTCCAGATTTCACAGCAAAACATGAATTACAAGTTATGCATTCAGTAAAAGAATAAACTTCTAAACAGCAGTAAAATAAATCCACTGAATAAGGAAACTGCAGGGTACCTCAGCAGTGTAGTATTTGGCCATGCTTGCCTCCTTTATGAATGGCCTTCCTGTTTCCGCAAGACGAGCTGCGTTGTAGGTCAGCAACCTCGCCGCCTCCAGCTGCGTGGCCACCTGAGCTATCTGATGTTGCATCCCCTGCAATAAGCACATTGCAAGTCAGGCAGAACCAGTATCCAGTACTCAGCTGGAATTTCTAGCAATAACCACTCTTTTTGCTAAGGAACATACCTACACTCTAAAATAAAACCACAAAATCTAGATGGACTTGTAATTCTGCGCTTCTCTGCATCTATGACTTTGATGCTGGAAAACCTCTGGGCCACCAAAGTTCTTTTGGGAAGTGCACTCCCATTTTCTCCTATCCCTCTTGTTGGATTCAGGAGTACTGGGGAACTTCTTTCCTGAGTGGCTGGACAGAAGGGTTCAGCACGAACCTATTTGCACCCATGAATAGCCAGGAAAATTTCAGCCAAATCTAAACATTCTCCTCAGCACAGCAGAGACATGGGTAGGTCAAAGCTGTATTTTTATTTTGCAGCTCCCTATTGAGAGCATTCATACTTGAACAAGTCTAGTTCCCTGATGAGCTTAACTTCAGAAAGCCTTGAAAAAAGCACCTCTTAACTCAAGTGGAGAACTAGCAAGGTGACAGCCACTTCTTCTCATGTCCCATAGCCATGAGACAAGAGTTAGGAGCAGAATAAAAGTACAGAGGATGTGACCGACAAATGGTTTCAAAGAGAGGGGAAAAAGGTCATAGATATCTAAATGGCAGATATTACAGAAGAATGGGTTTATTTAAGGACGCCCAAACATTATGACGACTGAAAATGAACATTTAGTAGCCTAACTTGCTTCTAAAACACAATGAAATCTTTCATCTTATTCGAACATTAACACCGCTCCTTAAAATTTGTAAAAACATATACGCAGGTCAAAATAACAAAGTGATTTGGCAATTATAAATTCCATTTCCCATTCAAAAGACGCAGTTCCAGCCATTTCCTAGATATCTGTGGGTGCTTCCTAAAATCTGTATAAATTATGAGCAGCACTAATGTTCCTTCTCTTCAGCCGAGATGTAGGTTTCTTATAACAAGAAAATTACTATAGTAATTACAATTATATATCTTCCTTATTAAACTATACATCATTTTTGCAACAAAGGGTCTTTTTCGTTTTAAGATACAGATATTATCAGGAAAACTAAATGTCTTTGTATAACGCAGGAAATCTAATAATTCAGTTTGCCTCATCTTTTTGTAATTTCTAGTGTCTCCAGAAAAAGGCCTTCCCCTACACCTCGAGATATTAAAATCAGAAGAGAAAGGAATTCCAGGCATATTATTTTCAAAGGCACTGAATATACTATCAAGCAACAGGAGTTATGTTAACAATGTTTTGAAGTGTTAAGTGATTTATGCTGTACTCGCAAATGCACACAGCACTGAATTTATAGATTTCACGCGGCAGATGAACACTCATCTGAAATTCTTTTGAAAAATTCTTCTGAAATACTGAGGAGTAGAGACATGACACAAGGTGGAGCACAAATTATGCAAATCGGATTACTCATTTTACTGCCTTCATCAGCTGTGGTGACTACTCCTCTCTTGGAGGAAACTTCCCATGTGTTCATTAACAAGTACCTGGAAATCAAATATGCTTTTCCCAAACTGGACTCTCTCCTTTGTATAGGGAATTGTATGGTCAAAACACCCCTGTGCCAGTCCCAACATCTGTAAGAAATAAGACATTCTGAGGTGAGTTTGGACCAAAAAAATGCCAAACCAAACAAAAAAAGAAATTACTGCCATGAAGAGCTCTCAAAAAGCAAGGTAACAGTATACAGTAGAATTGGACCACCTTAAAAGTATTCTAAGTCAAGACAGGACACTACAACGTGGCAGTCAGCTGGCACATCAAGCAGCTTATGTCAAACCACTTTAAATGAAGTACAGTAGTGTACAGGTGTTTTTTGAGAGATCCATGCATTAAGCTGAAAGCAAGGGCCCTAAGAACATAAAAACATAACTCTGAATGGGTTCAGACATCTACTCCTTAATTCAAGGTACTAAAAAAACCCCAAACCACAAACCCATAATAATAATACACAGGAAAATGAGAATGTGGAAAAATAACATAAGAAAATAATGCTGCTAATTAGCTGTATTACCAGATTTGTCGCTCTCATATAAACTCCTATAGCTGAACTATATCAGCTTCAGCACCTGTAACAATATATGCAGCTACCTTGCACTAAAACTACCTGAAACTGTTTTCACATTCACAATTACATTTTATAATATGTTCATTACATTTTAAAACTACTGGAAAACTAAATTAAATGCTGCAGGGCTTTAGAATGCTGTTCTTGGCCATTCAAGTACTTTTCTCTTCATTTGAAGGTGCCAAGAAAGTAGTAACTAAGATATAACAACTACCTGACCTTAACTTTTAATTAGGTTATAAGTGAAACTCAGAGTAATTAAGAGTAAAATCCAGACCATGTATTTTACTGCCAGAGCCTCAATATTATTTATATCTCCGGGAACAACGGGGCCCACAGCCCTAGTTTTTAAATGCCATATCAGACAAAGTTTAATTGCAGATAATATTTAGAAATCATGGAAGAGCCAATCCATTTAGCAGCACAGTACACTGCCACGTGGAAAGCCTAGGTTTCATGAGGAATATAACTTCTGGTCTGTTTGCAAATTAGGGCAAAAGATAAGGGAGACTGGTAGTACAAACATACTATACCCTATACAAGAGAACAGAAACAAGTAGAAACAAAGAAAAGATTACTTTCAAAAATAAACTAAAAATATAGCCATAAATCATTTTATTATAGGGCTGAACTTGATTTCCAGGGAAAAAATCAGCAGCAATTTGAGATCCAAAGTGAGTTTTGAACAAAATACAGCATTTAGAAGTAACTCAAGGTCAGCAGGCATTTTCCCCTAAGATGCCATAAGGTGCAGTTGTCAAACACAATGAACTAGAACACCTCGCCATTAAAAAAAAAAGGGGTGACTTTTAAAAATAAGTTACTGGGAAAACATCAGCTAGCACAAGGACACATTTAGCTATCTCATACAATCACAGTTGGAAGCATTAATATTATACATTTCAGTGTGTTATATTTTCCAAAACTAGTTTTCTTTGTAAAATGAATTTACATAATGGAAGCTAAAATGTTGATACATTTCAGTAGCAGTAAGTTAACCACCAAAGAAATTAACTGCCATTTAATGTTTTCTAAATGTATTGCTTATGTCATCGAAGGACACTTCTACCATTTACAGTTGTTTGAGTATTTTACTGTAACTTAAATACAGGAATAGTGACATCTAGTGGCAACTGAGTTTTTAATAAAGTATTTTCTAAATAGTTTATTCTCATCGACTTTAAATATTTCATAAATTTCAATTCAAATTCAAAGTTCCATAGTGGCTGTATTCAGTAGTAAATAAAATCACCCACCTGTGCAGCAATACCTATTCTGCCGGTATTTAGCATTGAAATGGCATACTTATAGCCTTGTCCAACCTGTCCCAGGATATTGGTCTCAGGAACCTAAAGAATAAAACCACTCAATTATTCCTCTTCTATTCTGCTTTGCAACTGCTAGTAGGGTCCACAGGTGAATCAGTGTACATGTTTTATTTAATGTTCCTTGTAAGTGAAGGAATAAAACAAAGCAGACATTTGATTCCCTGAATATCCGATTAGAACATTTCCTGATACATGTGATTATAAATTGATGATTGAGAAAAACTGTATCAAAATTTAAGAAATCTCAAGACTTGAGTGAAAGAATAGGGAGGAACAAGTTAAAATATGCCAAACAATCAGTATGTCTAAGGAAAAAAGTACACTGGGGATTTAGCTCACATTCTTCCCTTATATGTGGTCAAGCTCCAATTATACACAGATTATGCTTCAACAGCTAAACAACTTACAATACCTTAACATTTTCAAATGTTACTGGGCAGGTAGAAGATGCTCTGATTCCAAGCTTGTCCTCCTTCTTCCCTACATGTAGTCCCTCTGTGTCACGATCTACTATGAAGCACGTGATTCCCCTGTATCCCTAGGATGAATTAAAAAATAATCAAGAAATCATTGAAATATCTCATGCCAATACTCAAATTTTGCACTTGCTTAACACTATATTACTAAATAAAACACCGGCGCTGTCATCTGTTCCCTCTACGTCTGCTAATTATGGTTTAACAAAGGCCAGATATACATTTCTATTAAAATAGTCCCTGTGAAAAACATAATCAGAATGAGCTTAGAAGTTCTCTTGACAAAGCAGGGGACTGGTATTATGTAAATGAAAGAGACAGGACTATAGTGCCTGTCTGTACTGGAAATCACTGAGAAAGCAAGTTATTGCTGTGCAGTGAAGTCACTGCTTGCTGTTGGAACGTATATCACAGTCTGCAAGAAGACACTGGGTACCTTTAGACTAAGGTGGTCAAATGAATAATGGCTCTAAACCCACCTGTAAGATGATTCCATAGGATGCAAGGTTTTACTTAAGCCCAATTACTTCAGCTACTCTTCTCACAGAGGACTTAATATACAGAACCTTTCAAGGCTGTCCAAAGTAAAAGCGCTGACTGATCACAGAATCACAGAATCGCTCGGTTGGAAAAGACCTCTGAGATCATCATGTGCAACCATTCCTGTCTACCCACTAAACCATATCCTTAAGTACCTCGTCTACCCGCTCTTTAAACACATCCAGGGATGGTGACTCCACCACCTCCCTGGGCAGCCTGTGCCAGCTTCTGACGACCCTCTCAGTAAAGAACTTCCTCCTTATCTCTAACCTGAACCTCCCTTGGCACAGCTTGGTGCCGTTTCCCCTTGTTCTATCCCCCATCACCTGGGAGAAGAGACCAGCCCCCACCTCTCCACAACCTCCCTTGAGGCAGTTGTAGGTGGTGATGAGGGCTCCCCTCAGCCTTCTCTTCTCCAGGCTAAACAAGCCCAGTTCCCTCAGCCGCTCCTCATCAGGCTTGTTCTCCCCATCCTTGTGGCTCTTCTCTGAACACGCTCCAGAATCTCAACATCCTTCTTATAGTGAGGGGCCCAGAACTGAACAACTGATGAGACTGGTGTCCCTGGGAACTGTGCTTGAATATTCAAAGCGCAGTATAATTTAAAGTATTTTAATAGAGTTGCCTCTTATTTAAACTAACGCCAACCATTATTTAATATTTGAGCAGCACTGGCTTTTCATCTCCTTCTTGAATATTTAAAAGCAAATTTCTAACTTTAAGAAGACAATGTATTACATATTTTTAAAGTGTTACAGTAACACAGACACAACTCCAGATTATATGACAATGCACAGCAGTTAAATATGGAAACCGGCTTATCAATTTTCATTGTATGTAGTGCTCAAATCACCCACCAGCTTGTGAAGAAATGAATAAAAATTCAGAAAGTGACACGATGTTCAGCTGTTCAGTACAATGAAAGAAAACATCTTCTTCCTATTTAGTCAAAACTTGAAATTGTAATTTAAAAAAAAGTATCTTCAAGTTAGATTTTTAAGAAAGAGATACTGGAAGAAGTTTTAAAATTAAAAGTTTTAAATAATTTAGTTTTGAATTTGAATATTACTCTACTGTATTGGTATAGTGTATTTTGAAGTCTGCAGTTGACTTTTCTGAACCTACTACTTATATCCAAACTGGAGACAAAACATGAAACATGCATATCCAGCTATGGTTTTTTTTTTTACCTGAACATACTTAAGTATACTTGTTAATTTTCCAGTGCATGTAGCCAAAGCTCTATTTTTAGTTTAGCTACAGTAATTTGTTAGTTAAATCAGAAGGGTTAGAAAGACTTGGACTATATGGTCTTCTGTTACTCAGAATAATACCAACGCATGCTGTGCTCTTCATCTAAGCAATTGTGATTCTGACATTTGTATTTTCCCTGGTGAGAGAAAGTTATTAACTTGTTCAGCAAGATCAGTTTTTGTTGGGAAATATTTTTAAATGTTTGTTGTCAGCTAGGAAAAAATGCAAAGAATATTAACCTCTAACATCAGATTATTAATATAAAATCCATAGTTTCATATATCATCAGCTGTCACTGAAATGCAAATACTCTTTAGCAACTTACTAAGGATGGATCTGTGTTTGCCATCACAAAGAAAACTCCTGCATGTTCTGCTAAGCTAATCCACATCTTTGAGCCATTGATGATATAGTAGTCTCCCTTCTTTTCAGCTCGAGTCTTCAAAGAAAAAGCATCGCTGCCAGATCCAGCCTCCGAAAGACAGAAACTGCCTATCTGCCAAGTGAAGGGAACAATTAATTGTAATTTTTACTGAACATATAGGCACAACATAGAACAAATTCTGCAACAAAAAAACCTATAAACAAGCACAAGTCTCTTAAATTCAAAGATTTTAACCTACTGCATCAAACTAAGTTTCAGATACGGAGATTAAGAATAGCAACACTGTGTGATTACATGGCTCTCAAAGTTTACTGCTTTAAAGTTCTTTTCTACAGTAAATTAAACTTTAATGAAACTAATAAGGGCCTTTTCCACTTTTACCTCTCAGCTCCTGACGACAGGATGTATCAGTATCACCACAGATCTCAGCTCTAACCCGTGTTTCAAAGTTCACATATGTTTCCAATGCTGCAGACACCCACTTAGTTAAAAAAACCAACCCACTAACATTACTTAACTCTTAAAAACTATATTATAGTTTAGTAAAGCGAGACTTTGACTCACTGTATCTTTAGCAACTCTGGGCAAGTAAGTTCTCTTTTGTTCTTCTGTTCCGTATGTGGTAAACAACCTAACTGTCAGTGTATTTTGGAGTTCACATAGAAGAGATACGGCTGGATCAACTTTGGCCAGTTCTTCTACCACCAATATGACTGAGAAAAGTGAAGCTCCAGTTCCTCCATATTCTTCCCCAAGCTCAATAGTCATCAGCTGCAATGTAAAAGATGCAAATATATCAATCTGTTAGTTCCTGTCAACAGCTTGTTAGTCCAAGCTAATACTTAAGACATTAAAATGAAAACCACCGAATGTATTTCCAGATCCTTCCCCAAAGACCTATTCTCCTTCAATATCCATAACAAACTAGAACATCTTTACAAAGTTGAGTCAATTCACGCAAGAAATAACTAATATGTGCAGTTTACAGGCCAATCAGCACCCTAATTTGATTACATTTTCCAGAACAACTGCAATCTCAACAGAAGCCTAATACTTAAAGCTGTGACTGTATAAAATGACACTCTAAGCACAGACAAGCTTTAGGTTTGACAGCAGGAAAGGCTAAAATTGAATCCAGGAATGAACACCAGGATATCGGCAGCACAAGTCCTTGTGGTTGCACAGTAAGGACACAGAGGACTCCCGATACCCTTTTCCAGCAACACTTATCAGTCAAGCCAGTTCTACCATACTATGCAATTATGATTATCCATTAAAAAAAAAAAGTATGGGGAGGAGATAAGGAACTCAAAGATAAGATGAAGAATGTGGTGCAGAAGAGATGGAAGGAATATTATAGGAAAAGATGGAGAGTGATATAGCAGTAAAAAAGAAGAGAAAGTTGCCCTGCTGTTGATAAATCCAACATTTTTAATGATTCATTTTTCAATTTTTGAATTATATCCCTCAGTCTAAAAGTCTGGAAAGCGCACAGCTAGAAATCTGTATGAGCGAAGTCACTTTGAGTAAGTGATTGAAACCGTACAGACCCCTTGTTCAAACAATCCCTGTATTACAGAGTCTTCCATTTTCGAGTTCTCATCCATTTTTTGCACCAAAGGTGCAACTTGTTCCTGAGCAAATTTTGACACTGTAATGAAGAGAAAAAAGAAAGTCAGCATTCTAATACTCTGTTTAAAGGTCAATATAACAGTAATATGGTACTTCTGACTGGTTATGCATGTATTCCCTGACTCTCCCAGGCAAGTTAATAAAAGGACAAAAGGTTGCCCAACTGAAACAAAAGTAATGTGCCACGAGGCTGAATTATAATTTAATTATAATTATAAATAAATAAAATCTCTGAAAAGCAGCTGGAACAACTTCCCTTCTGTGCCAGCAAGAGCTTTAAACAGTTAATATTTATTTATGCAGAGTAAACTGCGCTGTGGAAACATGGAAAAAGAACATCACATTCTTTTCTTCTGAACTAAAACAGTTTTAGCATTAAGCAAAATCCCCCCAAACAGTCTCAATACTTAATTAATTACAACTGTAATTAAATAATGAAAATAATTTTTTAAGCTAAAATTTCCCTTCTAGTTAGGCATTTCTGAATTTTTAACCACAGAGATAACAGGTACCCATGTTTTTCAGCATCGTCTCCTCTTCGGTGAATGTTTGAAGCGGGGCACAGACAACCCCATCACTGGCTACATTTGGCATGAGCCCTGATTTGAAGGACCTGGAGACACATGGAGAAGTCCTCCAAGGAGCCAAGTACGCTGGCACATTTCTTTTCAGCTGTTGACAACAAATACAGAACATTAGAACAGTTAATAAAATTCGTATTTGTAGACAGACAGCAGCACATAATTTTACCCAGTGATTTTATTCAGTAATGGAATAGGAAATATAACTTACAATGTCTAGTTTCAAAGTTTTTGAGAAGATATAATTCCCCCAGCATCCTAAAAGAAAATGCCCTTTAATTACTCTTCTTTTAAGCCCAAACAATTTTCTCTCTGGAGGTTTGCTAACACAATGTTATTCTACAAAGTATTCACTAACATTAATTTGAGTCAATTTTAGTGTTTACAGCAAATAAACCCTGCTGATAGTTTTTATTTTTAGACTATTTTGCAAGCCTGCTGCAATATTCATGGTAGTAAGTTTATATTTTGATAGAATTAGTATCTTCATTAGGAGATATGATAAGAGGAAATTTGAAATAGATATTTGAATGTTTTTTTTACAGAAGACTGGTCAACTTTAATGATAGTTTTTTCTTTCTCCCTTGTGTTCTAGGGGCCAGCAACTCCTGTTCCAAAAGCAATCTGACAGCACTTCATCTGGATGATTGGCATTTTGCTGTGAAAGGGCATAACTTTTAACAGCACTGTGGATTTCTGTAATCAAACCAAGTTCTCACCCATCACTTAATGATTTTGAGAACGAGCACATATTCTGTGGACAGAGCCCTGCCCTTTGAATGCTTCTGTAATTTCTATATAGTTAGAACTATTGCTATGGGAGTCTGAAGTGCGGAGATATTAACGCCTTACCAAGACAACTGCTGACAGAAGCCCCCAGGAGAGACACAGTTGTGCCATAAAAATAACATATATACCAGCATGTGTCTGCCAACAGACGTTTTTGCCAGCACACACTCTTAACCCCATAGCGAGCAGACCGACCAACTATGCCGTAACCACGCTGCTGTTAAACTCACAGGACAATTAAACTATTAAACCATATAGCCCATAATTAACCATAAACCATAATTAATATATATATCCAGGACAATGCACTGCATGCTGTGGTAGCAGCATTCCTCAAAAACCAGCAGAAACTTGGGGGTCAGGACGTAAAACATCCTTTGGTCCTTCCAATAATTCACTCTCTTTCACGTTGGCTTTCAACACTTGTCATGTCCCTGGCTGAAGAACTGATGTAAAACAGAACTAGGGACTCCTTTTGTCTTAGGGACAAGATGCATAAGTCTATTATGGTAAGGAAACTCCAACTTTAGCACAACTGGTCATGCATGACAAAAAGAATAGTAAGAAATAGCAATATAGAAAACAAATATTGCTGTGAACTTTCAATGGTCATTCACATTCAACACCTCTGGTCACACAAGACAAACACAGGCTAGTGGGGCTGATTAATTAATTGAGAGTTTGGATAATCAGCAACACTTTCAAATGAGGACTAAGTTACTGGAGTCACTATAGGTCTTCACAGAAAACTGAAATGCGAGTCTAAGTCCATATTTTTAGCAAAGTCTGAGAAGGAAAAAAATCTAAGTACACGCACACACACACATATATATTTAACTCAGTATGCTTCCCGAGCAGTTACAAGATTACAAATCACACATACTTCCTGCTTCTTCCAGTACTTTACTTCCAAGTACAAAGAAAAGAGCATTTTGCTTTCATGGTGGCATAACCAAAGATGAGTCACTGGGACTATTTCACCAGTATTGACCAAGAGCTGTCAGGAAAGATGCACGGTGCCTTTTCAAGAACACAGAACTTCTGAAAAGCTGTGAGTAGGTACACTCAGTAGGCAATAAGCCAGTACTGTTGAAACAACAACAGGTACAACTCTGGGATCACCTCTGCTTTTGTTTGATGGTATCCAACACTTGGATGTAGAATTATCGACCACGCAGGTGAAAGCATCACTAAACATAGAGCAGAGGACTCTGCCCTGTCCAAAGTGGGATGTATAGATTTTGTAGCCTAAAAAAGATAATAGATTTTTCTCATATCATGAAAATGGGAAGCTGGACAGGCTTGATTAAAAGCAGCTCAGCAAGATCAAGCACAAGTGCGTGAGGCCATAGCGGCAGAGGTGATCTGCTCCGAAACACAGCCAGCTCAGTTTGTTACTGGTTACAGCCACGACAGCAGGGCCACTCTTGGCAACAGCATCAAAGGCTTTGAGAACACCAGTGCTCACAGGAGCTGCCCTTCATTCATTTCTCCTCCTTCCCCCTTCAGGGAAGCCACCCCAGGCTCTTCCCACTCCCCAGAGCTTTCGCTTGGAGGCTCTTCCACAGCAACCAACCCACTTGAGGTGGGCAGAGAAAGGTGTCCTACCATGGCAGGAGAAACAAGGGCTGCCCTTAGTGTACGTATACAGACACAGTTTGAGAAACACTTGTTTGATACCCGATTGAGATAGCGCTACAGGACAAAAGGAATATTCATAACCACATTACCTTGAAAAGTCTTAAAACCAGCAGGATGGTCCCAAGGAGTGGGACCTACACTGGCAACACTGAGCAGCAACCCACAGGTATGCCAGAAATACAGTGCAGAAATGTTGTTTTATTTCAACATTTCAATTAAAATAAAAATCAAGTCACTACATTATTGGTTATATTTTTATTCTCAGAAGTCAGGCAGGCATGTAGTATTATTGTCAGTTATTTAAAGTGCGCGTATGTTGCTGAAATGCATCGATGCTGCTTCCTTGCCTTTTCCCCCCCCTCTTTTTCTGTAGGTAAGGTAACGATTTACGCTGCTACAAGATTCAGACTGCTTGCTCTACTAAACACATGTATTTGAAAATGGGTTTCTAGGTTGCTGATAACATTGATTTTTCTGTTTATCTCAATTCTTACCTCCACCTCAGCTCTTTAAAAGACCAGTTCTTTTGGATTCCTTCTGTTTGTTTTACAGCCTAAAATGAGATTTTAATGCTGGTGGCCCTGGCAGCAGCATTAAGATATAAATCAAAAAAGGCCATAAAGCAATACATTCTCCTAAGATCACTTTGCTTTCCTTGATGACTTCCACTCCCGTATCCATCCTGGCTGGCTTCCAGACAGCTCCTATTTCTCAGCTGAGAAGCTCCATCACAGGAAGCTCCCTTGCCCTCACTTACGGGGCTGCGTTTCTTTATTTCAGTTATCACAACGCACCCGCCAGCTGCCATAAGAAGGCCCCAGGCCAGCACACCTTCTCCCTCTGCACAGCAAAAGCATGCATGCAGCACACACAGGTTTTCCACTCGTTTCCTTCGTCTTTCAATTACCCCTGTAGTGCCACAAGTCTTTTTGCCTGTTTAGATCAGTAAAGGAGACATCAAGGCACCTCTGCTGCTAAAGCCGTGCTGCCTTCTCCCAGGAGTATCAGCCATGGGCTGCTCCAACCACAAACCATTTCACAAGACTTTCACAAGAGCTTTTCTTAGCAATAAATTACCTAACCCCGCCCCTCCATAAAAAACCAAAACAAACCACCCGACAGGAGGAGAAGAGGGCTTTCCAACACCCACCCCCGTCCCTATGCCCTGTAGGGCTGCACCTGAACCGGCCGCGCAGACCCCACACCTCGCCAGCTATCGAGTCCCAGCGAGCGGTTCCCCAGCGACCGAGACCCCGGAGCCACCCC